TTTTCTCCTCTGCAAATGTAACTTGTCTTATTGTTGTAAAGTCAAATACAATGCTATATGGAGGACGAGTTGCCTTGTCTTTTCTGTTTGACCATGACTAGCAAACTGTATGACATTTTTGAATTGTGTTGGTTAATCAAATACAGTTGCCTTCTCATATTTAGAGGTCAGAAAGAGCTTTTATTCTATCTAAAAACTCGTGTATCTGTGTCAGGTGTGAAGCATTCTCCACATATCCAAGGACATATGATCTTATCCATGCGGATGGTGTTTTCAGCTTGTACAAGGATAAGTATGTTGTTGTTTTTCTTCTTTTCTTTTTAGTCTCGTTCCCTTTGGAATCTTTACCTTTTTCAGAAGATTTGTTTTCCCATAGAAAGACTGATTTAAATTTTATAAACAGAGACATATATAGACAATGTAATAGACGCAACAAATTTTGAGACCGGCGTGGGAAATTACACAGTCTTTTCCCTGACTCAGATGATCAATGCAGGTGTAGTGCAGAAGACATACTGTTGGAGATGGACCGTATATTGCGGCCTGAAGGGGCAGTAATAATCCGAGATCAAGTGGGGCTCCTAATGCAGGTGAATAGAGTTGCAAAGAGAATGAGATGGAATACCAAAATGGAGGATCATGAGGATGGTCCTCTTGTTTCAGAGAAAGTTTTGTTTGCTGTCAAGAAGTACTGGGTTTCAGGTGACAACGACCCAAGCTCATGATGATACCTTGGAAGGAAGGAAAATAGAAGGTTTGTCATGCAGCGAACTCATCAAGATCTCTATGAATTTCCCCCATTGCCCAGTGTATGTATATCATGAAAGGGCATAGGTGCATCTTTGTTAAATAGAATTGATAGGCATCCTTATTCTTTAGGGTTCATAGATCACAATCATAGCCAGCAGATTTTCTCATTAGGATATTGCTTCTGCATACTTCTCTCCAAAAAAAAAAAAAAAAAAAACCTGTACAGATCTTCAAGGTGATGTTTAGATTTTTAATCTTAGGTCAATGAGGCTGATGTCTAGATTTTGAATTTTCCCACTGGCCACTATGATAGGCATGACCAAGTTTGGTTATCGAATTCACCTTACTTTTTGTTTATTAAAACAATACATTATATTTTTTCAAAAAAAAAAAAACATTTGGTGATCGTCTAAGAATATTAATTATGGTTAAGAACATAAAGTTCTGAAATTAAAAAAAAAAAGGGGCCAGATTTTTTATTGAAATTTTTGAGTTGAAATTAATTATGGTTAAGAACATGAAGTTCTGAAAATAAAACAGACTGAAGTATTATAAATTTTTAATGAAGTTGAGAGATGGTGTTAAGTTTGGCTGTTTGGGAACTTAAGTTTGAAAGGTAAAACTATAGTTTGGGGATCCAATTATCCAAATATGTCAATTTTTTATAAAATCACTTTTTGATCAAAGACCATGCTTTGAAAAAATGTAGCTAAACGTCATGATTTTTGGCAAAATCACTTTTGAATTGAAAATCATGATTTTGAGGTCTAAAACCATGATTTTTCATAAAGAGAAATTTTTTTGCCTTTGAAGGTATAAAACCATGGTTTGTGATATAAAAAATAGATAAATATAAGAGATAAAGTAGATTGGAATCTTATATTTAGAATCAAATTGAATATCTAGTTAGCTTTTATATTAAGGGCGAAAGGTAATATGGGAAAATTAGTTTGCCAATCCTTATAGTTTTACCTGATTTTGAATCAGATCCTTGTAGTTTTTTTCTTTTTATTGAATCCTTATTATATTTTTTGTTTTGATGGAAGTCCTTCTGTTATAAACTGTTAGTTTAGGCTTATTGGCGCGTCTTCTCTTCTTAATTACTCAGCTTCTCTGATCTCTCTTCCTACTCAACTTCCTTCTCACTCCTCCGCCCATTGCGAGCAATCTCTACTCTCTCTCTCTCTCTCTCTCTTCACAATCAACATCTTTCAATTCTTGCCCGCCTTTCCCAACGACACCCACAGCGTCCGCATTCTTTTTTCTCTCTCATCTTCCATTCTTTCTTTCCTTCCTTTCTCTCTACTAGTAGTATCTTCATTTCCTTAATTTAATCATGACGTTGGATTTCTCCTCATGTATTTTTATTATACCCATGTAGCCAACTCTAACCTTGTCATCGGTGATATTTAATTCTAGACATGTGCAGTTTCAAAATGGTACGTGAGAAATTTTTCATAAATAAATGTTCATCAGCTCTTGACCCAAGTTCATGAATACATAGAGCGCATGTGGAAAAGGGAGAAATTGTTTCTCTTGGAAGAGCTTCTCATGGCGGTGAAGATGTAGAGAGAGAAAGAAAGGAGAGCGAGTGAGAATGGAAGAGTAGCTAAGAAGGAGATTGGGGGGTGTCGTTGGGAAGGAGAGGGGGAAGAAGACGATGATTACAGAAAGAGAGAGAAAATATTGATCAGTTGCAGATTGTATGAAGGAGTGGTGGAGAAGCTGAGCAAGAAGACGTGCCATATAAACTTAAACTAACAGTGTTATAACGGAAGGACTTCCATCAAAACAAAAAAAATATAATAAGGATTTAATAAAAAGAAAAAAAGTATAAGGACCTGATTCAAAATCAGGTAAAATTACAAGGACTGGCAAATTAATTTTCCCAAGGTAATGTTAATTAATTATATTTTTTATGTACAGTTTATTATTTCAAACAAAAATATAAATTAAAATATATTTTTCTATAATTATCATATTACCTTATGTCTTTTTTAATAATTTATATATAAAAAATTATTATTATAACCACCACTCAAATATTTTCACTTTATCAAGATCATTTTTTTACAAAATCTAGTCTTTTAAAATATATTCACAAAATCTATTCACAAAATCTATTTTTTAAAAAACCCAAAACCCCCTTAAAAAAAACTCCAAATTAATAGACAGAATTAAAACCAGAACTTTGTGCGAAATTATGGGGTAAAAAATAAAAATACAGTTCTACCGAAACTTAAATACGGGTGTTCATAAAAGTTAAAGACGAAAATTTGACTAATTCGATGCTAAATGCCCAATATTTTATGCTTCAAGCTAGGACACTGCATTTTTTTAAATTCTAAATGTTGTACTCCTCCGGTCCTAATTATAAGACCCAATTGACTTATTTGAGGAGATTAAGGAAGTAAGTTAAATTGGTTATTTATAATAAATAAGTGTTATCATTCCTAAAATATCATTGCTAATTAAGTATATTGGCTAAAACTATCATTATTAGAAGGATTATCTTGGAAAAAATGCATAAATATAAGAGACAAAATGGATTGGGTCTTATAATTAGGACCAAATAAAAAGTCAAATTGGGTCTTATAATAAGGACTGGAGGAGTATTTTGTAGAATAAAAACAAACATGAACCATCGAAACATTCTAATACTTCTTTAGTCCTTAATATAAGGCCTATTTAACTATTTTGATTAAATTAAAGAAGTTAGTTAAGTTAGGTAATAATCATAAATATAATATATATTTCCCAAAATACCCTTAATTAAAAACTTCGTTGAAAAAGTGACATTTCAAAAAATATTTTAAATTATTTTATTAAAAATATAAAACAGTAAAATTGATGTATGTGTGGAATTAATGAGTAATAAGTGCTCACTCACTTTATAAAATATATAGGTTTACTATTAATAAATAATAAGTATGATTGTGGTATTTAATTATTTAATAAAGAAAATTTAGGAAATAATTGATAAATATGAGAAATAAGTCCTCTATTTAAGATCAAGATTAACCTATTAATTAGGTTTTATATTAAGGACAAGAGGAGTAGTAAATAAGCCCTCTCAACAAATTTTATTAGATGACCTTACCTTTGGAACACAATACACTTATGGCCTGTTTGGGATCACATTTGGACCTTCAAACGTGCGTCCCCACCGAAGAAGCAACAGGCAAGCTGAAAATGGGTGTTTGGTCTCACGCTCACGCAATCTGACTTCTGCCACCGAAATGCACTTCTGCCATAAGTTGAAAGAAGCTACTTTCCGGTGAGGGTGTGCGTTGCAGAATACCGGTAGAGGATTTGGGTGTTAATTTATTGATTTTGTGCAGCACATGTAGGAGGTGTTTGGATAGAAACCAAACTATGGTTTTAAAAGTGCTTTTACGGTTTATGAAGTAAATATGTAAAAGAATTTGCCTCATTTTGCCGAAAAGTGCTTCTGAAACTATGGTTTGGAAGTTGCCAAACACCCCCATAGCCCAACATCTTGCCTTCAACAAGTATTAAAATATTAACACACTGAAGTTGGTGGACTCTTTTTCTAATGTATTACGGGTGTAACTTTATGAATTTTGTGAGAAATATCAAATGTCTTGAGTGCGAGGAGGCAAGGCCAAAGAAGCAACTAAATTAAATTTCCTTATTTTTAATAATTTTATTTTCATTACTTCTTTAAAAATGATCACATTATATTATAATCTCTTTCTAATAATAAATTAAATTTCTTTACTTTTAGTAATTTTATTTTTCTTATTTCTTAAAAAATAGTCATATTATATATATCTAATATTAAATATGTACTATTTAATAAAATTTATGTCCTTTTAAGTCATTTTACATCTAAATTTACTTTTACGTTTATTATCCAAACAAGTTTCAATTTTTCAAATTGATTTTTTTACAAAATTTAATCCAAACATAAATCATATTAAACTATCTGACTTCTGTAAAAATCAGATTGAAAAAAAAGTTACTTCTGTCACCACTATTCTAAATACACCTTTATAATTCAAAATAAAAAAAACAAGCAAAGACGAATACTAGAAATTTTGAAAAGATAAGCATAAAAAATATTAAAAATAATTAATATCATCTTGACATTTTCTCCTGATTCATCATTCGTACAATGACGAATGGACCTGTAAGGACAGATGTCACGAAGTGGTTGATCCACAGTTTGAAGAAGCACTTTCTGGTTATAGCCGAAATATAAACCCCCCAAAACCCTAACGCCTTCGTTCTCTGTCTCTCACTTCCCCGCTCTTCCCTTTGTACTTTGAACGATATATACTGCTAGGGTTTTAGGCAATCAGAGAGGTAGTTAGTGAGTGCCCTGTGTTTACGATAAAGAGAGAGAGAGAGAGCAAAAGAGGAAGAGGGCGAAGATGGTGGCCGACAAGACCAAGAAGTTGAAAGTTGCCGAGAAGGGCGAGAACTTAGAGGAAATTGACGGAGAGCTTGTCCTCTCTATTGAGAAGCTGCAGGAGACCCAAGACGAGCTCGAAAAGGTATCATGGCCATTAGCAGACGCTCGTGTGTCATAATTGGTCCCCTTGTATGTTTCACTGCGAAATTGAAGTTCTGAACTTTCATTCCAAATCCTGTAGCTGTTTCTGAATTGTTACCTCAGGTTTGAGATGAAGTAGTGATGATAATATAACCTTGCGGTTGGTTATCTGCTTCTGTTTTGGGGTCCCAGAATTTTATAAATGTAAAGGTTATTCATGTTTTAGAATGCGCTATTATGAAGGTCCAGCCATGGTTTGTTCTTTAATAATAATGCTTGTGAGCTATATCGACCTCGTCTATTCTGTGGTGAAAATTCATTCTTTTTCCTTTTTCCGGTCATTGTAGATCAATGAGGAGGCAAGTGATAAAGTTCTCGAAATAGAGCAGAAGTACAATGAGATAAGGAAGCCTATCTATGAGAAGCGGAATGAGATTATCAGAACTATTCCTGACTTCTGGACAACAGCTGTCAGTATTGATTTCTATGTCTATTAAATGACTGTGGCAATGGAGTTTTATTGATGCGGTTAATTTAGGAATGTTTTGTTAAACCGTTCTCCTTTTGGCAGTTTATGAGTCATCCTGCCCTTGGTGAGATTCTGAATGAAGAAGATCAAAAGGTCTGACCATCTCTAAAATTTGGATTTTGCAAACCACTATTTCCCCTCACTTTAACATGCATTCTCTTGTTTACTTTCGTAAATGTCTCTGCTGTTTATGCGAATGTGAGGGGTTCAATGGAGGTAGTGCTTATATTGTTGTTTGTTTGATTATGGAGCCGTGGCTAGTAACTTATTGAATTCTTATTTAGTAGATATTTAAGTATTTGAGTTCTTTGGAGGTTGAGGATTTTAAGGACGTCAAATCGGGCTATTCAATTACCTTTGTAAGTTGCACCTCCCTTGATTTTTCCTTTCATTTTGTTGATTGTTCATTAAAATAATGACAAATCACTTGTTGACTACGGAAACTCATCTTTGCTTGAACGCTCCTAAATTGTATATTTCATTGAGTTGTAAATTGTTTTTTAATATTTCTTTTTCAGAATTTCAATCCAAATCCATATTTTGAGGATACAAAACTTACAAAGACTTATACCTTCCTTGAAGAAGGAACTACAAAGATCACTGCCACGCCTATAAAATGGAAAGAGGGCAAGGTGAGGCTTTGAGCTTCTTTGGTTTTTCTTCCTGTAGCTTCTGAGCTATTTGTGGTGTTTGTTTTAACATAGTATATATATGGGGAAATAATTGAAGGGTATACCTAATGGAGTCCATGAGAAGAAAGGGAACAAGCGACCTCCAGCTGATGACAGGTTTTGTGTCATGTTTATTTTCTTTCTGAATATTGTTTCCTTATGTACTCTGATCTGGTTAAAAGAACAAAAAAGAAAAGATGGCAGTTAATGGTTCCTATATATTGCGAACTTGATCTTTTATTTATTGTTTACCTGTTTTTAGGCTCTTTTTTTAACACTTATTGGTTGTTAGTTGTTACTGAACATAAATGAGGGAAGATATAGAATTTTGCACATGCTTGATATGTGAATCCGAGACAGCTGAAGGGTTTTTCCCTCTTTAATTTATGCAACATATGGTTACCGTTTTTTAAGTGCGCCTAACTCTCTGCAAATCTTTTGAGTGCAGTTTCTTTAGCTGGTTCAGTGATGTTGAGCAGAAAGATGATATGGATGACCTGCATGATGAGGTAAAATTATCCTGGTCTTCTATAATTCCTCGTGGAGTTGAACATCCGATCTGTGGATATCCTGTGTCTCTGTTACTGATGTTTCCTTTAGCTTGTTTTTATTTCTATCTCTCATTGTTCCTGATGATGTGATGTTTCATTCTAAATTGCAGATTGCAGAATTAATTAAGGACGACTTGTGGCCAAATCCGCTTACTTATTTTAATAATGTGAGTTTTCTTTTAAATTTTGTATATTTTCCTCCTGTTAATGTCAATTGTTCTTTTAGGTGATGCTTAAGAATTTCTCTCTCTCTTTCTCTGAGATTCTCTGTTTTCTCATGTTTTTTATTGGATTTGATGCTTTAATGTTGCAGGAGGAGCCTGATGAAGAGGATGAGGAAGATGGTGATGATGAGGTAAGTCATGTGTTATTTTGTCACAATTGCTTACATGATCAAAAAATATTCTTTAGTGTTGATTTTATGGTTTTTAATTTATTGGATCAATGTAATCACATTGGGTTCATTGTTTGTTATGGTTTATAATTTTTTCAGTCTGAAAATATGTAGAAGTCGGTACTAAAGAGATATGGAGCTTAAGGTTCTGAGGATATAAGATAATGCAGAAATTCAGAATCATATTTATGGACTCAAGCTATTGTGTTTGAACTCAAATAGATGTTTGATAAATTAAGAAAATTAAGGTTGTTGATAATCTGCAGAAATCATTGTTATTCTTGACTATATATGATCTTGGTTCAACCAGTGAACGGCAATTTTTTATTTGTCTTCCCCCAGTAGCACAAGGCTTCTCACAAATTAGCATATGAGAAGGTTATGTTATTCACATTAGATTGTTTGTTTGAAAATATATTGGCTGGGAGGTTGCTTGTTACGTAAAGCGATCTTAAGCTGTGAAGCTAGCCTCTATTTTTATTAGCGAATGGGTAGATGTTTTCAAGCTCTCTCTCTCTCTCTCTCTCTCTCTCTGCTTTTTTCCCTAGAAGCTTCCTATTTAGCTTGGAAAACATGTTCTTGTATGATATTTTCCTCTTTCCGCTTCTTTAATTTCCCCTCCCTTTAAATCATGTTTTGATAAGTTGAATAGATGCTATTTTGCGCCAATGAGATGAATCCAAGTGATTGCCACTGCTTTGAAGCCTTTGCGGTGCACTGTGTGACGGACAGAGTTGGTTTGTGCAACCAACTGTGGAATCTTCCGTGACATTGATGCTTGGATTAGAAAAAATACTGACCTTGCAAACGTTTTCGATGAAATCATGCAGCCGTTGACATGCTTTTTAGATGAAAAATATAAGTAATTTCTTTTGGTGGGAAACCATTAGCGCACTAAACATCCGCCATTATATTTTTTTCAATAGATCAATCTCCAAGTCTGGCATGTTTTTCATTTGAACTGAATGATGGCATAACTTTAGAAATAGTAGATGCAAATATTAGCCTGCATTATCATTCTTCCTCTTTGGCAGGGAAAGGATGAAGACGACTCTGAAGATGATGATGAAGACCAAGATGATGACGACGATGATGATGAGGGTGACGGAGATGATGGCAAATGAGGGAATATATCACGAGGGGGGCTGCCTTTGCCGTTTTTTGTGGTTATAGGAGTATGTAAAGTGGGCTCTAGGGGATGGTGAGCAGGCCATCCTTTTTTGGGTATTAACTTATGTCATCAGGCGTACCAAGGCCGGCCAGTTGTTGTGACCATTCTTTTTGTTTTATTGTCCTTTGAGGTTATTTCTCCCTGCTGGTTTCATCCCCTGATGCACTTCATCAGTTTTTACTATTACTCACATCAGCCTTTTTTCCTTCTCTATTTGGAGGTAACTACAAGTAATACCATATTAATTAGTGTATAGCTACTTGGTTTTCTTTCAATTTATTTCTCTCTCTGTTTTTTTTTTTGCTTTTACTAATGATAATTCATATGGCAGACGCACCTACTGAGGGTGATTTCTTTTCACAAATCTGCTTAAATTACCTTTCTTATTTTGGAATGGTAATTTTTCTGTGATTTGATTCGTCCCAGTGTAATTTTATTCAATTTTGGCAAGACAAATTGAGAATTGCACGAAGGTTGATTGTGACTAAACGCTGGAAATCAGGTCCTAAAGAAGCTTGATTTATTCCAACGAAACCATACTAAGGCCACTTTTTTTTATTTTTTTTAACCTCATTTTCTTCGCCAGCTTCAAATTCTAGGGGACCAAACGGCCCTTAGAAGTATGGTTTGATTTGTCCAAGAAGATATTGATATTAAATATAAAATTATTTTCTCTGATTATTAGCTGTTTGCCCGCCATTAGTTGATGTTAGTCAAAGGGCAAAGTGTTGTTTAACAGTAAAAATGAATTATCACCAAATTCCAAGTAAATTGAGAATATTTCACAAAAGTGATACATGTTTATAAGCATGTCCTTGAATTGAGAGCTACTCCCGAACCTCAAGCCTAGTTAGTCCAACTCCTCTTTGGCGTCTTGTTTTTGGTTGGGGTGTTCAAGGTCGACTCGTTCTGGTTCTAATCTTATTGGAACAGGACGGGTTTGTCCTGAAAATTTTCAGAACAAGACAAAAAAGAGGATTGGGATTGGGTCATTCCGTTCCGAGCTCTGTTTTTTTTAAAAAATCATATTTATATAATATTATTTTCATATTTTTTATGATTTGAGACTATTATATGGGATTATGAATCCATTTATTTAAAGTTTTTATATTTATTGATGATTTGAAACTATTAATTATTAGAGTTTCCAATAAGTTTTTATTATGTTAAAAGCTTTCATTTAGAATTTTTAATGATTATTATATGTAATATTTTGAACTTTTACTTAAGGGTGCCAAAGAAATAAAAAATAAAAAAATATTTTTTTACAAGGCCTAAGCTCAAAAAACTACAATTAGGAAAAAAAAAGATTTTATTGTAACAGGCCTAACAACTCAAAAAACTTTTTAAAAAAAAATATATCGGGATGTATCGATACCATCTCGTTCCTACCGGGATTGGAACAACACTTGGACAGGACAGGACAAGAGACAATTTTTTATCCCGTTACTATTTATCGGGACAGGCCTGTCCTGGTCTCGATTTGTTCTGTGAACAGTCCTAGTTTTCAATCTCTTAGTGTTGGAAGCTCTCATATGCCAAGAAACGCAAGTTATTTACGCATGCTTCCACCAGCGCCCATCGATTGATTAATGGAGTTCTATCCTTATGTGAACATACCATTCAAGCCAAAGATTGTCATAAGAAAATGCATCTAGGGTCCGTTTGGATCAGTGATTAGAAAAGTAGCTTATTGAAAAAATAGCTTATGGGAAAGTAAAGTTGGGTAAAAGCTAAATTGGATAAGCTGAATTATGTTTGGATTGGAGTTCAGAAAAGCTAGTTTGTAAAAATGAGATTAGTAAAAAGTTGTTTGGGTTATGGTTGAGTAAAAGTAAGTTTGGTTGTAAAATAACCAAAATGAGTATGAGTTTTAATAATAATGAAACATGATAAAAAAATAATTTCACATAATACAATGAAATTAAAATAATTTAATATAAAGAAGTCAAATTTAATGAGTGAATTAAATTTTAAAATTTTATTAAAATCATAAAAAAATATTTTAAATATAAAGTGAAAGATGAAAAAAAAAATGAATTGAGATAATATAATGAAGAAGTGAAATTTTTAGAGTAGATTAAAATTGAAAACTTTAGAGAAATCATAAGAAATATTTTCAATATAAAGTAAAACATGATTAAAAAAATTTAATACAATAAATTTAAATTAATTTAGTATGAAAAATTCAAATTAAATAAATAAATTAAATTTTAAAATATTAGAAAAATTACAAAAAACTATTGTAAATCATAACAAAGAAAAAAGCTTCGTTCACAACCTAATTCCCTTTGCTTTTGTTCGGCCTTCCCTCTCCTCTCTCTCTCTCTCTCTCATTTTCTTTCTCGTCTGAAACAATCATGGAAGCTCAAAGACGGAGAGGACGATAGCTACTCTTCATTGTCAGCTGTATCATCGGAGTACGAAGAAGACAAACATGTGTAAGCTGAGTCCTCGGGTCTTAGCATCGGAGAGATTTTTTCGTCATCAGAGAGAAAAATAAAAAGAGGATAACGGTCCATAAGCTCTTTCAGATAAGCTCACTCTCTTAGCTTATTTTTAATCGTACGTTTGCATAGCTTTTGGCTCTCAAGCTCAGTTGCGTAGAAGCTGTGTCAAACAACATCAAATTTTTTGATCGAGCTTTTTCTCAAAATAAGCTGCTTATAACCCAAAATAAGCTCTCCCAAACAGGCACCTAGTTTGATTTATAGATTAGCATGGGAAGGAAATTGTCTTATAAAGCACAAAAGACTTCAGTCACTTTTGCCAGGCTGCTGATTTTACTTTTAGGTAATAACTACTACCACCATCCTTAATATAATAATTAAATAACTAATTTTTGAATTAAGTTAATTATTTTTAATAAACATGTGTTGTGTTCTTTAAAATATCATTTAAATTTTTTTATCATGTACAATCACCATAAGACTACTTATGGAAAACATGAATAAATATAAAAGATAAAATAAATTAAAATTTTATATTTAAAATTAAATTAGATATCCACCAAGTATCATCAGAACTCAGAAGTAGTATATCAATGCTTAACCTTGTTACTGTCACGATGGTAGACTCAATATCCGTAGAATGGGATGCATCGATGCATTGACATCCCAGCGCGCACAAAGGTTAGCTTTCTTTTTTACCCTTCTTTTCTATGGACATGCTCATAAGCAACTTCCCAATCCATCTCGTATCTCAAGACTTCCCATATCATTGACAACATGGAAGACCAAGTAATTTTCTGTCGTGTATGTTGGAGGCGTCGTAAAGATTCTCCACGGAATTTCAATTTTTATTCAAAAAATATTATAAATAAATACTCTTTCTAATGCTTATTATGAGTGTCAAATAACTACTTTATGAATAACAAATAAATAGTTAAAATTAATTAAAAATAATAAATAGGTTAGAAATATAATTTTGTTTCCAATATGTCTTTATAATAAATAAAAAAATTAAAAAAAAAAGATATGGGAAAATATGAGATGATGGTATGTCAAAGGAGAGAGAACAAACAATTAAGAGCAAAAAAAAAAAAAAAAGAATCAAATGTCTAGACAAACTCTAAATTGAAACTTATAAAATAGATCACATCATTCTCCAAATTTGAATATTATAAATAGGACTGGAGGGAGTACTAAAATGATCAAAGTTGTATTTTTTTTTTGGGCAACACTAAAAAATTAATTTGAAAAAAAATAATTCCAACCAAAATTTTAAATCTTAAAAATTTTTTAAAGGAAAAATTAATCAACAAGTCTGTATTTTTTCATCTTATTTTAATTAGGCTTATAGTTCCTTTCTTTTTAGTATATTCTTCTAATTTCGCTTATTTTTAATCATGTCTTATAATTTTTTTTAATCACGTCCTTAAAATTTTACCTAATTTTTAATTGAGTCTTTGTGCCTGATTAAAAAAAAAAACATGTGTAATTATAAGGAATTAATAATTTTTTAGAAAGTCCATGCAATGTCGAATGTGCCCTGTAGGGACAGTTGTCATGTGGTGGTTGATCCCCGGTTTGAAGCCGCACTTCAGACCGTACACTAGATATAAACCCCAAAAACCCTAACACCTTCGTTCTCTCTCTCTCTCTCTCACTTCCCCGCTCTTACCCTTTACATTTTGAAGCATATAGGGTGCCAGGGTTTTAGGCAATCAGAGAGCAAGTTAGTGAGTGCCCTGTGTTTAC